ACTTTTGTAGTTCTTTTCATTCCTGCTTGATCGATGTATTTCATATTTCTTCAGTTTTTAGTTGTTCAATTTTGCATAAGGGCGTGTTGGCCCGACTATTTTTATGTCTCGGATGATATTCATTTGTGATATAATATGTATTATTTTATTCTGTGTTGTTAATTATATTCTCTCTATCTGTGATCGAGACCTGTGCCTTTGCATTGTATTTATTTCTTGACGCTTAGCGTATTAGGTTGAGGAGAAATGATTATTTTATTTATTCTTCTTAATCTAATACATCGCGGGCTTGTTCACGTTCTGATTCCTGGGTATTTTGGGAAGTGGGGCATGACAATGTTCTCCATGTTTTGATAATTTAGAAGTAATTACGCGACGAGGAGCAGCAGAGGGTGATTGATGCACCAGAATTTGAGTTTCAGATAGATTTAACTACCATGGAGATCACAGGTTGTATTCTTACTAGAGAGGACGAGAGGCTTAGAAAGAAAGTAATACCTTAAGTTAAAGTTTAATAGAGATAGAAAAGAGATGAGGAGGCTTCTTGGGAGCGCGAGGAGGATATGTGTCGTGACTACCCGCAACTGTTCGAGTGGGTAAATTGTTTTCGTTATAGCTTATTGATGTTTATGATTTTTTTGATTTTTTTCTATATGGTCATATTTATATTTAACGCTAGAATGAGGGTATTAACACTTAGATCCTAATCATTTGGAATACATGATATATATATTGGGGGTTACTTGTTTGGATTTTTTGCCTGACGTACTAGTTCCGTTTAGTTAGGGGTTAAGTGGGAGTATTCACATTTTAGATTGTTAAGCATAAATATTGCTAGTAATTCATATCTAGGAATTAATGATACGAGATGTGTACGGGAGAGTTTCCTTGTCTGGACTATCCCCTCTTAGTGTTTTTCTCATATTATTAATTCCTAAGATACGATTACGGAATTTCGAGGACAAAATTCTTTTAAGGGGTGAAAAATGTAAAACCCTGTAAATTTGAATATTTTATGATAAATATGTTATATAGTGAAAAATAATATATTTGATGTTTGAGTATAATAAGAATTGATTTGAGATTAATTCAATGTATATTTGTGAAAATATGAATACAAATGTACAAAACATGCACAAAGGCCGAAAGAGTAAAAATCTGGGAATAATAACCAGTTATGAGTTTCTATATTTTTCATACCGATGCAGTCAGAATTTGGAAAAGTATAAAATAATAAAGTTGTAAATCTTTTCAACAGCTTTCTAACAAATCTTAGATCACCTCATTCTGAGATCGGATGAGAAAATTACAGCCAAAATACCGAAGGTTATTTTCCTAGTCAGACTAGGTTTTCTGGTTCGGATCAAACATGTTTGTTTCGGGTTTGCCTCTATAAATACTTGTGTTTTTTAAGAAAATTATTTTTTTTATCATATCTATGAACCCTAATAACTACCCTCTCCCCTCAAAAATCCTAGATCTTTTTGTTATGAGTTTGGAGAGCTTTGTGAAGCAAAAACATCGATACGAGGGCGAGATCATCAACGTGTGGCGAGGGAGAACGGATTGTTTATGCTTGTGGATTGCTTGCTATTTGTTTCATAGGCTTGCACATGATATTAAGGCAAGATCCCT